CGGAAAGTGGAGGATGCTGTAATTATCTTTAGGAGATTCACTATACTTGCTGACAAAGTAAGCAGTGAGGATAATAGATTTTATATTTAAAGATTTCAAGTTATGCTACTTAATAAATATCACATGAATCTAGCTTATGATCTAGCAATGTAATCATGAAAAATTTACCGCTGAAAAATACAACCATACATATTTATATTTATATATTTAACATAAATGTGTATAAGTCTGGATAATGCAATCAATATAACGAGGACATTATTTAATAAGAATTTCGTTCAAATAGTATGAAAGGAAAAAATTAGAACTTTAGATTTTTTTGCAGTTGTATTTAGACAAATGCAACTACAAAAAATTACAAATTAATCTTATTAATTAATTTTTCTTTGAAATTATAAATTGAAATCTGAACAATTTATTAGATACGTGTCGACATCTATACTCCCTGACGGAAAAGAGAAACATAATCGATGTGCACATGATCACAGAGGTATATGAATAGACCAAGTATCTTACGGGATTTCGTGGCTCGTGACCTGAAATACCGACCATGATTAAAAAGTCACTGGTTTTTTAGCGCACTCTACGTTTAAATAACGGTGAGTTAGGGAATTAGTGAATGCGCCAGCAATATGATTTTTCATTACAGTGTTGTCAACTTTTAATATCGAAATGTAAAATGTTTATCTGCGACTATACCAAGTAAAACGATACAAGCAAAATGATATCTCCAGATTCCAAAATACGAGATTAGTATTCCATTTTTATATTTTTTATTATGTATTTATGTGTGTGTCAGAAAGAGTTCATCGTTTTACGAATTCATCGATTGGTTTTTCGTTGGAAACGATAAAATTAATACTTATAATAAGATTTCTTATTTATTGAAATATATTTAGGGATGAAACATATTTGGAATATACTTAATATTTAATCAAAAAGGAGGCATAGAATAGGTCTATTGCATTGTATCAAACCATGTGAATTGAAATATCCATCAAAATCTAAAATTTATGGTCTTCTACAATATTTAAAAATGCACGATACGCTATTATTAAAAAATTCAATCTATAATAGTGAGGACAACGATCTCTCTAACAACTTAACAAATCCTTTAATTACATAAAAACGTAAAAATCGTGATCGTAGTTGATTAGCTCATAATTGTTATATAATTCATAACTGTATCGCGGTAATACAATTAGTAATCCTATCAGAAATAATACTGATTGCCCTGGTCTCACCACGTTCAGATTTGTACGTATCGAAATCCACCCTTCTTCTGCCCAGTATACTTCTACTATAAAAAAATTTATTCAACAGAAAAAAAATAAATTCGTCTTGACGTACGATGGCAAAATGTTTATACTCTCTTATTATTGTGCAAACGAACAGCAAAAGGAGAAAAAAAAGGCGATGAAATGTAAATTTTTTGAAAAAAAGGCGATCAAAAGTAAATCAAAGCACAATACATTGAACTTGGGACGAAATAAGGAATGACGTACCATTCTCGGTATTTTTGGAGAAAAACGGAAGTTTCAACAATAAATGAAAGTAAATTT